ACAAAAATATCTACGTACTGTACAGTGGTAAGAACAGCACGTAACGTTGTGGATGCCGTTTCGATTTCCGCTCTTGTCAAAACTTTTCAATCTCAATACAGTTTTAGTTCCTATGCCACCTTGGGCATTATATTTGAAAAATAATAAATTTTCATCGAATCTGTTCACCTTTTTTGAGTCCGTAGGGCAACTTTTATATCATCTACCGAGAACTAATCTTGTAGCGCGGTGATGTATTGAATATATAGAACCAATGTTGAGTAAATTGAAACACAATTTTTGCTTAAATTTGTTTGTGTCTAAACGAATCTAGATTTATATTTTTGATAGTACTTCAACATTGCCACTTAATTTTTGTAAAGATATTGTAAAATTAAGATAAATAGGGTTTTTAATAGTGAAAATAACATATGTAAAGTGTCAAACGATAGTGCTTTGTGTTTGGCATCTAGGTACGCCATAAAATGCATCGAGCTCTTGCAGAATCCATTTGCTTTCCTATTTTGCATCATAAACGGTGGTTAACAGTGAGATGAAGGACCACGTCATGTTCAGAACCTGAGAAATTAGGACATATTTGTACCAACAATTTGTCAAAAGGCTAGAATTTAAATCAGTAGACATTAAAGTATGTCTATCTCCTATCCACTGTTTATTTTATAATCAATGTTATAGATACTAAGCTAAGTAAATGAATAACTTTACGTCACAAAATTTTGCATAATCACGATACATATTAACAAAATATTCAATCTACTTTTCACCACTTCAACTTTTAAAAAGCCATTCCAACTGCTTCGCCAGTTTTTGGCTAAAACAAGCTTTTCAGTTTCCAACTAATTTAAAAATTAAATTCAAAAATGGAACATTTTATGTAGAGTGCGTTGTTTTAACTGAGGCCCGGGGGTATATCGTAAACTGTATCCCGGATGTGGCTCATAAATTATTACCCTTATAAATGTCTTCAGCGATATCTTTATAAAACTGGTGGAGGTCACGTATGCCACGCGTTGAGATCTGAGAAACGAGTAACAAAGTATTAGCATACATTATTCTCTTTCGGGGGTTTATTATCTAGTCTTTAAATATGTGTGATTTTATATGGCACATTTATAAGTCTATTTAGATTAAATTAATGTTGCGCGCTGCTGCTCTATGTATCTAGCTTCTGTTAAGTAGCTGTGTTGTTCAACTGTTGTAATATGTTACAGGACAGAACGCTCTGGATGCCGTTTCAATTCCCGCCCGTATTATCGATTTTTTTCAGTCTAAATATATTTTTCTTTTTTATAGTGCCATCATGTGCAATAACATATTAAAATACTGCAGTTTTTAAAATATTAATTATAAAATATTAATTATAAATTATAAATAAATATGTTGCTACAATAAATATAACATGTTAACATTACAACTACACAATTAGTTTTTGTCTTACGGCAACATTAGTAAAAAGTGACTGTGTTCTACAGCATTTCATATTTTTTATGTGATAAGAGAATACCAGTTAATTAAAGTACTATTTATAATCGGCGTATATTCACACCACAAACACTAGGGACATACAACGTATGTTGTCACAACACGACAGCTAGATAGAGAAAAATTTCAGACCGCTACGAAAACACGACCAATGCAAAAAGAATTCGGGCACATGTGCGAAAAAACACATGGAATTCTTTAACAGTGTTTATAAACATTCTATGAAATTGTTTCTTATTGTTGCTTACATTATATATATTAACATAGTTTGCATTCTCCAGTGTGTTTCTTTATAGATAATATTGTTTTCAATTATGTTAAAATAAAAATTTAAAATTGAGCTTCTTAAGCTTATTCTTCTTATTTTAATGCTGAAGAAGGGAAAAGAGATACAATTTCTTCTAGTTAAAAAATTATAATTATGTGGATAGGTATACTGTCTGTAGTTTACGCGAGAAGTACAGGTTTAAATAAAGCCATTTAACGGTTTAAAACGCGATATATATTAGTTAAACTCATTTGAAAATTATTTTAACTACGGCCCGACGTTTCGTATGCTTTGCAGCAAGGCTTTCGCGTTTTAAACCGTTAAAGTGTTTTATTTAAAAGTATTAATTATTAAAACAGCAGCTCTAAAGATCCAACCAATTAAAACGATCAATATCGATTGCTGTAAATTTGTTTCGCTAAAGGTGAAAACTGTATAAACTGGCGTTTAACTATGCAAAGCAGTGCGACCCACCACGACCGGGGCTGGCATGCCATACCGAATTTAATATGGCTTACGTGAACGTAAACAATCCAGTTTGTTTTAAACAGCTTTTGTTACTGTCGTAATGGAGCGATATTTAAGTTGATTTTTGCTCTTTTTTCGTCTGATTTTAAGTGCTGCAAGTGTCGGGTCAAAGTCAAAAATCATTTATTCATGTAGGTAACTATGTACACTTATGAGCGTCACAAAACTAAGGTATCTAACTTTACATTTACTACCAGTTCTCAAATCAAGGGCGTCGAACGAACGAGAAGAACCGGCAATAAACTCGCCGTCACTTATTAAAGTTTACTAACGCCAAGTTTCATTTTACATTCTTTATGAAAACGCGATTAAGCTTCATGGCTTTCTCATCTGTGGACGGTTGTTCGTGACCCTGACGGAATTTCTTTATTCCATCCACCCGTTTAATATCCAAGGTTCCAGACAAAGTCCATCTTGTTTCAGAAAATATAGAAAAAAAAAATTAGAAACATGATGGACCTGGTGGGAATCGTATCTACGACCCGTTGATCATTAACCATTATTAACTATTATTACTTGTATATAAGGTCGCGAAAATGTGTGTTATATATATACATTATACAATGGTCATTGTATTCGAATCCTAAAGAAACGTAAAAGAATAATAAAAAATAAGTAAAAAAAATAAAATAATATTTATATCACACAGTGTTACTAGTGTAGAAAACTGCTCAAAAATAACATAAAAATGTTTACTCCATGCGTTCTTAAGGCATAAGAATTAATTTTCAGAAATAACACAAGTTTACCTTTACTTAGTATGCATACTAAACATTTCAAAAACTCCGTAGATAATTGAAACCGCCTAAATTACTAGATACATTACTAATATAACCCCATTATATTTGAAAACATTATTTTTTACATGTTATTGCACATGAAGGCACTATACAATTTAAAAATCGAAAAAAAATTTCGACTCGGGCAGGACTTGAACCGGCATCGTCAGCGTTCCACGCTGTTGCTCTACCAATTGAGCAACACCACGTATAATATTGCAATAACATGTATAAAATATTAAGGTTTTCAAATGAAATTCTCAAATAAGTTAAACTTATATATATCACGTTATAAACCATTAAAGTGCTTTACCTAAATATGTATTACTCGCGTAAACTACAGACAGTATTTACGACAATATTGTACAAATGTGGTAAATTTAATTTCCGATAGTAAAAAAAATCGGAACTGTAGTTCTTGAGTTTATTCATTACAAACCTACACGCACTAACAAATAATTCCTCTTTATAATATTAGTATCGATTTAGATATTTCTGTGATTTCCATTTAAAAGTATTAATACGTACCTCATCATCACAAAAATAAGGTCTTTCTGCATTTTATTTGGCAGCTTGTACCACGGCGTGTCGTAAACAGCGGTCGAAACCTCAGAAGCCTGTTTTAATGTAATGATATTAAAATTTAAACCGCAAACTATATTCTAACCTTACCAAAATATAATGAAAAGAGTGTGTAAATAATACAAAAAGTATTTTATTCACTACTTACAAAATTCTTTTACCAGCAATCAATCAATATTATTTAATCAATAATAGTGTTTAATCAAAAATGTTGGACATTTGGAAAATCTGTATGCAAGTGAGTATCTGTTTGAGTCTGTGGATTTTGAGGAAACTTGGGGTTTGTCTGTCCTGTGTCATAATAATAAAAAAAAAACTATATATTAGTATAAGAAGTCAGAAATTCACATCAAGGGAAAACCTAATTTTATATTAATAATGAATGATTACTTTAATGCAATTAAAATAGAAATTGATTATTAAAAAAGGACTCATAAATGTGTCTGCCCACTTATATTTACAATATTTATTGTTTTAACTGCACAGGAGAAACTTTTCACTTACCGTTATAACTAAATTTTCACCACTTTTGCAACAGTAAAAAACATTGGCTATGACAAGAAGCGATATTGACAGAATTTTTAAATCCTCTATACTCCCGTCGACCTAAAAGGCAAAGCCCAGTAAATTCAGTTGGACTTTTTAAAATATTCCTATATTTCTTATTTTTTTCACTATTCTCAATTGGATAGGTACTGAAATTCCTACTTACATGAATCAATTAATATTATATTACATGTAGGTAAAAAAAAAATCCAAATTAACATTATTACATTAGTGATGAAAATTTTTACTTACGCAAGCTGATATGACACAAAAACATATAGTCGACGACAAGTAGACGTAATTTATTGCAAACAAGCAGCCGAAAGTTCGACTAAGATCCAAAACCAAGCTAAAATAAAACTATTTTTAGCTATATTCTTAATAAACTTGTGCTTTTGTCATCTATACTAATATATGAAGCTTAAGAGTTTGTCTGTTTGAACGCGCTTATTTCTAGAACTACTAGTTCGAAATGAAAAACATTTATTTTATCGAAAAAAGCTACAGGCAGCTAACAGCAGGAAATGAGGACAAAACAGGGAATGTTTATCTTTGTGGGTTTTCGATGCGTTCACCTCGAAAACGATTCAAGATACCCAAAGAATATATATGAAAGAATGATTTCTCTTTAAGTGATCTATAATAATAACAGCCGCTATATGTTTATCTTTTAAGATAAACTTACAAGAACGGGGCGCGGACGACGTGGGTAGGAGCTAATATTTATAAAGATGTTTGCAACAAATAAAAAAAAAATGATGCCCAAAATAAGTACTCGGACGAAGTCGCTGACGAAGCTAGTTAATAATATCTACTTACTCCAATAATTTTGAATGTCTTGTAATCGTTTCTTTTAACTTCTCTTCTCTAACCAAATCGTCAGTCAAACTAAGTATATCTTTGAATTCCTCTTTAATTATTAAAAATAATATTGTCAAATAATTCAACGATATCGTAATAAAATACTGACTACATTGAAGTTCGTAGGCTACAATGAGAGCTGAAAATAATAAGATTTTTAATGCACAATACATGATAGAATAGTAGTGTGTGCATTCTTTTTTTTGATCCTCGATCGTGTACCATGATATTTCAAGATAATCTTTGTGTACTTTTTGATATAAACTCTTCGGTAAAGCTTTACAACAAACTATATTTCCTGCCAAAATGTTTACTTACATTGACCCAACGGGACACATTAAATAAAACAGTTTAACGGTTTAAAATTCCCAAATACACTTCGAGTTTTATACCGTGATATTTCCCTCAAAGCTTACCGTTAATTAAATTGCTATAAAAAGTTTTCAGTTAGTGTCCAACTTAAGAGCAAAACAAGCAAGTCACCAAAACAAGACATCTAAGACGACCCACTTTATTTACTTTTTTCATCACTTTTGACCGTACAGATAGAAAAAATAAATACACGAAGATATATTTTCCTAACCTTCTCTTTTCAAGTAAGTGCATTAAACAGTTAAAAAAAAGTGGTAAATAATATACTTACCTAATCGGAACTCTACAATAAATAACGTTATATAAATGAAAAAATTATCATCATAGTTAAAAGGCGTCGATAATCCTAACGCTACGGTATAAGGCACGTCTCTATGAAGAAAGATCTTGTTTACGAAGACCATAACTAGAGGATTCAATAAATATATACTACAGGCGATGGTCACCGATAAGCATGAAACTGAAATCAAAAGAATGATGATGATAATTATTAAATGTATGGAGAAAGTGTATTTTGGAAAACAGGTGATACTCGAACCCACTACTGTGTACTTTGATAGAAGAGGCCCGACAAGCACGCGGTTCACTTGATGGCTGCCCTCAGCTATAAAACATCAAATTTAAGATGTGCTATCGACGTGTATTGGCTTTGGATATTCGGAAATCCACAGATTGAAATCGAAACGCGATTAAAATTGACGACTGTCTCATCTGTGGACGCTGTTTCGTAAGCCGAACAGATTTCAATATTCCTACCACCCATTTAAGTCTATAGTTTACGCGAGTAGTACTCATTTAAATATAACACTTTAACGGTTTAAAACGCGATATATTAGTTAAAAAGTATTTTCAAATAAGTTTATCTAATATATCGCGCTTTAAACCGTTAAAATGTTTTATTTAAACGAAGTCAACATGTTTCAGAAAAATTGTAAATCGTTTTAAAAAATATTGAAGCTATTAGACATTATTACCATTCCACCATTGATCCCGCCAAAATACCAACGGAGTAGCGTAAAAACTTTTTAGCAATCTACTCAACTGCTAATAAATTTCTTTAAAATGAAATACTTTTTCAATGTTAAATTGTGTGGTAATGTTTTCATAGTTTAATTCAACAACAATCTAGACTCAAATCGAATAATACTCACTCTTGTTATAAAGAACGGTCTGTCTAACAAACTTTCTTTTCATCGTAATTAGTTTCGGCGATAAGCTTTCGTCAATCCGCCATTCTTTCTCCATTTTAAAGATGAATTCTTTTATTCGTTCCTTTTTCAAAAACAGTTGAATGAATATTAGGAGCGCTAAATGACAAAAGGTTGAATAAATAGTATTATTGTTATTCAATCAAATGAACGAAACATTCTGGCGTATCCACTCAATACGAACGATGTTTGGTCGATATAAAGCTTATTTAACTTTCCTATAATGTAATGACCGCAGAAGTATAGGTCGGTTAATAATAATTAGGGTCAACATTGTATTTATTTAATACGTAATCTCTTTCATCCGAATTTAGTGAAATATAAGATATATCCAAGCAATTATACAATTGCGATAACCTATTGCGGTAAGCAGCGGTAAGAAGGTCAGGTACCCCTTGTACCTGAGTTCGAATTCCGAGAAAAACATGCCAGTTTCGGTCACAGATGTCTTTAATTGCTCAGTGAAACAGACATAAAAATTGTCTGCCGTTATAGATATTATGTTAATAGAGTTGCCTGGAAGAGATCGCTCTATAGCGATAAAGCACTCCATTCCATAACTTGTAAGAATAATTTATCTTTTTAACTTGTAGTATTATGGAAGCATAAATATAATATGTGTGTTGTGTTGTGTGTTGCAATATAGAATTAAATAATAATTAATATTTAAATCTCACCTTCCATGTTATTATTGCAATACGAAAACTCAATCGGTATATCTAACAGTCTGCTTCCATCCGAGAACTTCCTCATCACATACATCCAATGACATATCAAAGATATAACATGACATATGAAATAAAACACATAATAATATCTCAATCTGAAATATACTCTATCGTTCGTATTAAATATATTTAGACCAGACAGTCCAATGTAGTCCATGACCGTGCAATACGGTCTAAAAAATTCCGCATTTAATTCCTCCAAGTCCGTCATGTTTATGTGAGATGTTGAAATTTTAAATGCAAATGCAGCGTTGGCTATTTTACGAAATGAAAACGTAGAGTTACAAAAACAGCGGCGCTAACGAATAAATATTTGTTTTAGAGGACTCGTTGTGTTGCCAATATTGCGTTTAATGGTATCCGGTGCCAATCGGGGTAAATGATTCGGGGTGCGTTTAAAAGTCGATGTTCAATATTATGCGAACAAAAACGCTTTTTTGTTATTTCGCGTTTTTATGAAAATACAGGGGACAACCATCATACTCCTGTTGCATGTAAGAGATGATACTTTATTTGTATTATTACTATCTAATTTAAAAATCGAAAATAAATTGAGTTGAACCGGCATCGTCAGCGTTCCGTGCTGTTGCTCTACCCGAGCAAGCACGGAACACTGACGTTGCCGGTTCAAGCCTGCCCGAGTCGAAATTTTTTTCGATTTATTTTCGATTTTTAAATTATATAGTGCCTTCATGTGCATGTAAAAAATAATAAAGTTTTCAAACGTTATTACTATCTTTCATAATTAAGCATTAACAAGAAAAAATATCCGAAATAATAATAATCAAATATAACGTGCAGGACAAGGATTCTGATGGAAATTTTATAGAGATGTCGTCGGTTTGAGTGTCGTCATTGAAATTTTAAATAAATATTCGAACTATTTTGTTTTATTTTTGCAAATATGTAACATGTTTACCGCATCTTTAAGAATCGTGTTTCCATAATGAAACTAGACGTCGTCACAACACACCAAATTATTTATTTATATAAACACGTCATAGACAGATAAATAAGAATTATAATTATAAAAAAAAACTTATTTTAAATTCCGTAATTTAAAGCGACAATATCGATTTAACACAGACAGACAATCAGTTACAATATTTTTTTGAATTATTTCCAACAATTTAAATTTAATTAAATAACATAATAAGGCAAAAACAAATTTTTGAGCTGGAATACTATTGGACAAGTAAATGATCCTAAAAAATACTAGGAGATACGAAACTTATAAAACAAATTATAATTTAAGAAAACAAGTTACGGCTGGGATATTTATTTACTTAGAGTAAAAAAATACTCATTTCATATCTCGTATCTCGCAAGCCGTATCCAATAATTCATTCTTCGATTGATTTCCACGATATGTCATACGTAATTTACTCTTCATGAAAGCCTAACCTTATTTAAGTAAATACGGTGGCTGAAGTATAATTCACTGATGACATATTACGTGTTGTATTCCGCATTTTCCATATAATTTGATGTCATGGTTTTAATAATTTTAACTTCAACGTAAAAAATTAAGTACTGTCTGTAAGAGTGGTAAATCTATACTAATATTACGATGCCGAAGAGTTTATTAGTTTGAACGTGCTAATCTCAGGAATCACTAATTCGAACTGAGAAATTCTTTTCGTGTTAGACAGACCATTTATCAAGGTAGGCTATATAAAAAATTACGCTAAAATAAATTAAACTGCGAAGAAACAGTACAAAAAAATAACTATTCAGCGCGGACAAAGTCTCGGGCACAGCTATTAATAAATAAAACTCATTTAAATTGTTCAAAACTATTGAATGTCTTAGTTTTGTTTACTGCGAATGACGTTCCTTATTCTAACCGTCAGACGCAGGTAGAAATTAACTTGTCCTTTAAGTTAATTGCCCAATTTTAAGTAACAATTTAAATGTTTGCTTACATATAGGTAATAATCTACATGGTATATATGGACAAGTATCAAGCGCAACTTCGAAAAACCAGTATTGTAAATTGTACAAACGCGAATTCCTTTTAGCATTCCCTTCGCAGCGCGCACAAAACAAGTCTATATGTCACTATGACGCACTCGTAAAACACGTCCATTTGAACGAAACCCTATATTGCAGTTACATTTGTCAGTCGCGTCGTTGGGGATGAGTGGCACCCGGCCTTAGCCGAGTTACAAAACGATAGCCAAGTTCGTTTTCTCCCGACATTATCGATTTGGAATTATAAAATTTGGCCACAACTGCTAATCTCGTCTCGTCATCAAACAACGGGGACAGATAATAATTATTTCGGTCGGACAGCATACAAAAGTCTAATCAAATATAAGCTGACAAATAAAATCTATACTAATATATAAAGCTGAAGAGTTTGTTTATTTGAACGCCCTAATCTCAGAACTCTGGTGAGAGCTTAACAAACACAAAAGTTTTTTTTGTTCGAATCAGTATGCCTCAGATTAGCGCGGTAAAACAAACAAACTCTTCAATATAATATTACTAGTTTGCCGCGACTTCGTCCGCGAGAATCGTTATTTTGGGCATCCAAATTAGTTTAAATAAAAGCCGTGGTCACGGCTGTTGCAAAGCATCGGAAACGTCGGGCCGAAGTTAAAAGTCATTTTCAAATAAGTTTAACTAATATATCGCGTTTTAAACCGTTAAAGTGTTTTATTTAAATGTGTACTACTTGGTTAAACTATAGACAGTATTTCATCCAAATTAGTTTTTGCAAGCCCGTCATCTTTTTAAACAAGCGTTAGCCACGACGTCGATTGCGTCCCTTCCGTCGATCTTCAAGTTAATCAAAATTAGAAATATAGCGTAGCGGACTTTTTCAGAACATTAAAGATGAATCACTCTATAAATTCTAGGTAATGAACCGTGAAACACAGAGATAAATTTCCCCTTGTCATTCTATATTCAACAAAAAATAATTTTTCAATTCGAACGTAGTTTCTAAGTTAGCGTGTTCAAAAAATCATTTTATTATATAGATATACATGTATATGTCTAATAAAATTAGTATGTTCATATTCGACGTTTATACGCAGCTGACCAAATGTAATATTTTAAGTTTAATATTTTTTACTCGGCTAAGATCTTTTTTAGCTTCACTAGTAACTAATAAACAGACAAACACTAAATGTTTGCACAATACACCTCAACGAGCAGCGAGGGAAATTTACTCATCTCCTGCGGCCGTCGTGCAGCTCGTATACAAATAGATTGTGTAAGGTAAAAAGAAAGGTTGTATCACAAGGTTTACCCATTCATTTATTTTTATTATTACGTCATATATTATTCGGGGACGAGGTCGACAAATTGTTCGCATTATGGTCAGACTCGGGACCCGTGAATACACATTTTGGATAATTAAACGGAAACAGTCTTATTTATTGCGTATAGCTTGAATTTGGATGTATAGAATTGTCATCTACATTCGCTTAACGGTCTAATAGTGACAATATATGACTGATAATAATCAACGACAACATACGAGTACAGTATGTTGTAATGAATTTATAATGTTTTCTGAAACACGTTGATCTTCGTCTGGTAATTTGGATATTTCATGGATAGTCTTTAAATTTTGCCCGGGACACGAACTTCCGGCCACAGTGATAGAGATGCGAAGTTTCAGCGTTTAAGCTTTAGTCTGTTGATTAACGAATATTTATAGTCAAAGTAGATCGACAGCACATCTTGTTGAGTTCAACTTTCATTAAATAAAACATGGTTTTCTGTCCGAATCTATGATAAAACAATACAATTAAGAAATAATTTACAATTGACCATCACCGTCACTTGCACGAGGTACTAGGTTCGTAGATTGTGTCGGTCGGGCTGGGCCCAGAATTTAGATCAACTACTTATCTCTTTAAAAAAAACATCAGTAAAGTGAACACAGGTGTGAATGTGATCGTCTAATCATATAGTATATACTACGCAATGACAAAAATACCTAACAAAATCGCTTATATTGATCGGCTGAGACGTAAGTTGTTATTTTCCTAGATACCTACAGATAAAAATTACATGTTTTAAAGATTTTATACTTATACAACAACTTATCACAAAATCTGATCTAAACGATCACAGCTTTGCGTGCAAATTGAAAATGTCAAATGCACTGTGCTTGCAGTGTTGCGATTTTATAAGCGTTTCAATACAATGTGAAAACATATTTATTTATATTATAGAGTGCAAATTAAAGAATGTCATGAACAAAGAGAATGTAAAAGAAAGTGTAGATGTATTTCAAATTTAAACAAATCTTAATTGAACAATTAATTACACAGGCTAGATTTGAACCTAC